CTGCAATATTGGCCTACAGCCCAGATATCCATAAAAGTTGGGATGCTGTGTAAATGTAAACGGAATGCAATGATTTGCAAATCTCATACGCTCATATTTTATTCAAAACAGAACACAGAAAACAAATGTTTAAACTGAGACATTTTAATATTTTATGAACTATATTAACTCAGTTTGAATTTGATGGCAGCAACATGGGCCAATAAGAGACTGGAAAATGGTACTACAAAGTAGGATCATAGGGATGTACTACGAAGTAAGATTTGAGGGTGAGCGAGCTGTGTCGAGCTTAAAGTCTGAGCTTTTTGTGTCACAAAAGTGGCTTTCTTTTTACCTTAATCACCATGGAAACTTATGCCGAACACATAACCTGGTCGGGAGCAGTATATTTTCCGAGTTTCGGTTTAAACTCAGCTGGAAGTGCCACATTTTCACTGGTCCATTTATTCACAGCGTGTTGTAAGTGTAGATTCACTGCTGGGGAAATATGTTTTATATGGGCAAGTTAAGCTGTACTAAAACCAGTGAACGAGGCAGAAACCGTGCGTGTATTAATTTAGTGATGCAGAAAATGTCTTATACTTGATTCTAATCTGCTGCCGAGTCTCTTTAACACTGCTGGAAATGCAGCTCCCAGTACACAGCACACACCATAAATACCTGTTCAATCAATTCAATTAATTTCACTTTGATTTGCCAACAACTAAAATACTTTCCACATCTCTTTATTTGGCTGTGAGACTTTAACCTTTAACGTTTAAATGGGTCCAGTGTAAAGTTTGAGAGCCCTAATGTGCGGTGCTCACCTTGGAAATAAACAGCAGCACTGAGAGCTCACTCGGTGCTAAAATAATTAACTGGAATGAAAAATTTTACCGCTATGTGTGATAAACGATTTTCTGCAGCATTAATTTCTTGTCTTATTTGCAACAGTGTTGCATTTTACTATTTGATTTTTTAGCTTCGTTATAGACCTTTAATCACCGTTTTATCATCTGATAGCATCTCTGATGGTGGCGCTCATAGGGATCATTTTGTGAGAAATAATACCTCCAAAACAGCCGTTTTTATGTGAGCTCACACAGAGCCTGAAGCAGAGAGCCCAGCTTAACAGGGAAAGTTGATAATCACAGTCAGGATAACAGTTAGCTTTAACTGGGGTTTTAGGTTTTTTCAAGCCAACAACACAAAGACAGTCATGATGAACTTGGTTCATAGTATAACCCTCGGGCATGATTGGGTATAAAAAAAGAGTTTCTTAGAGAGCCTGGGTTTCTCAGAGGCAAGGAAGGTCAGATATTCACAAATCTACAAAAACCTGCATCTACAAATTGTGGAACAATTTTGGAAAAAAATTCTTCAACATATAATTATGAATATCTCATCATCTACGTAATCAAAAGATTCAAAGAATCTAGAGACATTTCTGTGTGCACGGGACAATGCAGAAAATAGTTTTTGGATGCTGCTTTAAAAACAGACATGATTCTGAGATGGAAATCACTGCATGGGCTCAGGAAAGTCCAGTTCGCTCTGCCATTCACAAATGAACATTAAAGCTTTTGTATCGTTATAGATGTTGAAACATGTTTTAATCAAGTTGGTACGGTTGTTGTCCTTAGTTGCAGTAATAAGTTGACAATACACTTTAGCTGTTAGCAGTGCCGTTCATTTTACCTGAAACCTTGAATCTTGCTAATTATGTCCCTCCATCTATTTTCTATTTTGCTATTTTGTTAATTTCATTTTTCTCCGTCTCTTCCTCACATCTTCAGAACTGCTGCATTTATTTTTAGTTTCTTTATGTTGTTTTCTCTCAGCTTTTCAGCTCTACCTTTTGGTCACTTCTTCCACACTTAACTTTTTCTTCATGGTGCACGAGCGCACGGCGAAGGTAGGGGAGGGTCCAGTCGCATTAAGAGATATGATTGGGTATTCCAGTGTCAACAATGCAAATGAACAAATGGACTGCTGTCACTGTTTGGTGCAGAGGCCCTTCAGGCCAGTCCATCAGCCCAAAGTCAGATTACCAGTCCAGCCCTGGGTGGGACTACATAAGTGTTCCTTTTCAAGCATTAGTTAGGAAATTCACTTTGGAATTCTTAGTTTTGAAGATTTTCCCAAAACCTCAGGAACACGGTGGCAATATTAAATCTATTTAACTGCGGTGTACTTCGTTTATAACTCAATTGTGGCATTTTACTACTTATCTTTAAAAAATCACAATGGTAACATCAGTATGAAGTTCTCTTGCTCATTAAAACCTTTAACTGTCTACAGTAATGTGTCTTTAAAGAAGTCTTATGACTTTATGTTATACAGCTCAATATAAAATCTGTCTGCTCTAAAATCGGATTTTCACTGCAGGGATTGGTCCTCATTCAGCTGCAGGAGCGTTAGTAAGATCCCACACTGTTCTTGGGTGATGAGGCCTTGCTCTCAGTTGGTGTAAAATATAATTGCATAGTGTACTATGCGGGGTTGGAACTGATATTAATGATCTTCAAATGTCTTATTTTTCCCCTCCAGCAGTCTCAAAGTCAAATATATTCAGCTTGTTATCACAGAGGAGTAAGAAAATTAGCAAATCTAAAATTTTATGACACAGAATTGGATTGTGTGGTGGAAACAAGGCAGAGGTCGCACACGTGTAGAGGAAAGGAGACGCACTCATGCTTTATTATATAAATAATACCACATACAGATGGGGAAATAATTAAAAAATAATTAATGCTCGTTTACAAAGAAATTAACAGTCTCTAATCTTTACTGTAGTTTATTTTTAATGCAGAGAGACAGAAAATCAACCAAAAATATACACTTATACAAACTTAAACATTTATTTGCATGTCATTAAATGAAATCTGTATTTGAATCCTGGCTCTTGAGCTCTTACTCAAGATAGTTGACTTGCTCAAGTCTGGAGTGGTCTACAAGACCATCAGCAAGAGAAGCTTGGTGGGACAGTAATAACTGCTGCTGCGATTATTTGAAAGTGGAAGAAATATAAAGTGACCATCAGTCATCCTCAGTCTGGAGCTCCATGCAAGATCTCGCCTTATAGGGTGAGAAAGATCATGGAAAAAAAAATGGTGGATCAGCCCATAAGTACATGGGAGGAGCTTGATTAATGGAGGCTGGAGACAGCTGTGACCACAGTCACTAAGAACAGCATTGGTAATGAATGGAAATCTTGCAGCACCTGCAACATCCACACGCTCAAGAAGGCACCTTTAACCTCCTAGGACCTGGCGTCCACATATGTGGACATCACATTTTGGGACGTCTAGACCAAAATACTTTACATTACGAGGACATTATACTGCCACTGTTCTATCAAAATTTGAAACAAATGTCCTCATATGTGGATCTCATTTTTCTCAAAAAACAAAAATTACATTCTTTAGGTCCCAAGCAACCCAAATAGCAAAGAAAATTAAAAATGCATGCCATGAAAGAGTTCGGGTCTTAGGAGGTTAAATGATCCAGAGAAGGCTCGGGAGAAAGTGCTGTGGCCAGATGAAACCAAAATCGAACTCTCTGGCATCATCTTGAGCCGGAAGAGAAATATGTACGATCCAAAGAACACCATCAGCACAGTCACTTGATCTCCATGTTTTTAATTTAGCTGCTGTTGACTTCAGTTCTTGTTTTGATCTACTGTGATCATAAGCTCATGTAACTTCCTTCTCCAGCTACAATTAAGGCGGTGGTCTGACAGACTGTCAGAACCTCTAACTTGAGGGTGTTACAGAAATGAGTAACGGGCCCTTGGCTGATAGGCCACTCCTCTGCGAAGTTGACTGACATAAAGACTTCTTTTCAATGGGTTAACTATCGAACGTTATGGTTTTCTAGGTGGTGCAGTTCACCAAGAACTTCAAGCTTCAGTTCTTTCTGAGTGAAATTCTAATATTTTATTAGTAGCTATTACTTTGCGATAAATCTGTGCAATGCACCAATAACATTTACAGGATGAAGCTGTTGGACCAAGCTAAATGCTGTTAGCTTGTTAGCCAAATAAGACTTAACTTCTAGCTCAAAATATTCAACATGACTGTGGTAAAAATGTGAATGTTTAATCTTCAAAATGTGCAAAACCAATTCAAAATAGGACTGCACACTAACAAACTGATGGTAGATGGCATAATTTCCTCAGATAAATATGAAGCGGGGAAACGGGCTAGCCGATTAGCATGAACTGAACTTTCAAAATGAGAATGAAGGGAAGCTGCCTTTGCTTCCAGCAAACCTTTCTACATTTGGTTGAGTTGACCCTTTTAACTTTAGAAAACTGAACTCTGACAACATGAAAAAGTTGGAAAGTTTAACCTCAAGACATCATTACCCAACGCTGTAGCCAGTACCCTCTCTAACACGTAGCATGGAGCCTGTCTTGATACGTTGCCAGACTTTTCCAGATGGGATAAAAGACGGTCTGAGTCACTCACAACATTTGCATAGTGTATCTCAACGTGCTGCCAGAAATGGGTACACAAAACTTCAAATGCAGTTGATGCCGCTTCACAAACAAGCCGCGACTCAAATCAGTGCGTCAGCGCCGAAATGACATCCGAAGGTATTACTGCGTCCTAAGTGCTCATAAAAACAATAAACACGCATGTCTAAATAGCACAGCTGGAGAGACGGTCTAATCACTCGGAGTCACTGCGACACAAACGAGCGCGGTGGTGTCGTTAAAAACCTTAGCAAGTGGGGAGATAGAGTTGTAGCAGTCATTAAGGGCAGCACTGCTCTCTGCAATTCTGGCTTATCTACTGCAAGGTGGAGGCACGGGGAGGGTATTTCTGCTCGGGGCTCATGTGCAAAGCTGAGATACAGAACAAGAGGGAAGTGGAGGGAGAGAGAGGGAGAGCTAGAGCTGGTTCATTTGCAGCTCGTCCCTGTAGACTGTGGAAAGGATTATACTCACAGAGAGAGAGAGAGAGGGAGAGATGCACAGGCTCTGTCTTAGCACACACTGAGTACCCAGCCTCCAATCTTCTACACTGCACTGTGCACTCTCCCCGTCTCCTCAACAGCACTCACTTCTCTCTCTTTGCTCCATCACACACACACACATATATACACACACAGCACATACACGTGCAGACACAAACCCACCAGTGCCATGTAGCCTCGGCCAGAGGGGGACACCAACCTGCACAGGACCACGAGCCAGGTACGCTGCCTTCATTCATTCAATTTTTTTGGCTCAAACTGCCACATTATGCACCAGCTGATTTATTTTTATTTATTTTTTTGGGAGGGTGGGGGGTGTTGTCGCTTTTAGTGATCCAGCCACTCACTCTCTGCAGAACACTCTGCATGCACCAAGATTATCTGGCTTCTTTGCATAGCCCCCAAGAGAAGCAAAAAGAAGAGATATCAGAGCTGGAAAGAGAGGGAGCAGCCAGAGGGGAGGAAACGGGGGAGACCAAAGTGAGCGGTGCATGTGCAGGGACCAGCTAACCTGGCTTGACCTTCACGTGGACGGCAGCCCACTCACTCACTTTGAGCACCTGTTCAGCAGTGCGTGGGACACTGCCCACTAAGACTTCACATGTAAAAACCAGCTCTTAAAAGGCACATTTAGCCCCCCCTTCCCTCCTCCCCAACACTTTATGTCTTTTCAAGAGGGCCGAGTTAATAATCATTCGTTCTGAGCGCGCTCAGGGGACTCGCTGCGGTTGCTTGAAATGCAAATGGACAAGCGAAGTGATTATTCATTCTTGTGAAATTAATTTGTATTTGTCACAGAGGCAGCGTGCTGGAGGGGTGGGTGGGTGGAAGGGTGTGCGGTTGACACATGCTTTCATTCCAATCTGAGGATTCATCTGAGAGATTTCCTTTTTCGCTTTTGCCTCTGTGAGGTGTGTCGAGTTTGCGCACAAACCCTCACGAGAGCAACACCTCTGACTCCCAGTTTGACTTCAGCTTTTTGAAGTGGATGTAGCACTCTGTTTGTATTTTTCTTTTCTGGTGACTCAGAGCGCGGGGCTTCAGAATTCACTTTGATGCTGGTTTCGAGATCAGCCTCGTACATCTTGAAACTGCAGGGGCCTTTTTCTTGTTGGAATATTTTGGAATGGAGTTGCGCTGGCCTGGAGAGGAAAAGGCAAAGCGAATGAAGTTTTAATCTGAGTCATTGCTGACGCTTTCCTTCTGATTTCTTTGATCTGTAGCACTTAGCAGAGAGTCAGGGCTGTCTGACAAATAGCTGCAAGATCAGAAACAAATCCTCGTGTTCGGATGGAGCTTTTCAAACAGCTGCAATTCTTCTTTGTGTTCGGGGGTTATGAAACACTTGGTATTCAAATTAAATGTGTGCAGTTTAAAAAGAATCTCAACATTTTTGACTTTCCTCATTCGCTGCATGCACTGATTCTGACTCCGATGCTTCTGATGGTTTACTGTAAACTGGCCCGTGGTGTTCTCAGTCTTACAGATTCTCACAGACTCACGCTCAAACGCAGGATGACCTCACACTCTGTCAGAGGTGTTAAATTTATTTATTTTTTCTCTCTGCGACAACAGGGAAACCCTCACTTTATTGCCACGTACAGTAGCGTCAGATTGTTCTTTTTTTGGTTTTAAACACAGGAGGCTGTGAAAAGATTCACTAACAAAACCATAAGTGCATAACAAAGTTTGAGTGGGAATTACCAAACATATGTACAGTGAGGCTGTGGGGACTTAAAGCACAAACAAGGGCCCACACTCCCACCACACACGCCGGAGCTGCACAGCTGCCATTTAACAAACAATTAGTAATGCAGTCTGAAGTGAAGACAGCAACATGTTTGAGGAAAGTATGGACTTACCACACCGTTGACTGTTTCCCATACGTACGCTCAACTTGAGCAGCTGCCAGGTGTATTTGGCAACTGTCTTTAGCATTATATTCTATCGATCAGAGACAGAGACGCCGCCCGCAATCAGTTTGCTAAACTTAACCTCTCTCTGAATCTACTGGAGAGATCTTCAATATTGTCCAGCTGATTGTGCTGTTGGATCAGAAATGAAAATGATATAATGCTTTTAAAAGGTGCTGTAGTTGCATAAATGGGCATTGCCCATTGCCAGGTAGTTGCTAGGCAACTTGGTGACATTATAATATGTTATGTATAATTCAGGTTTCTGGACATAAAGAAAAAATCTTCGCTATGGAATTAAAAGGACAGGTTGCTTTCATAAGGTGTTGTAGGTGCATGTGGCAAAAAAAAAACAGGTCACATATATTGCTAGGTGGTTGCTAAGCAACCTGAGGGTGTTGTCATATAGTGTAAGTTTTGGAGATGTACATTAGAAGTGAAATAAAAATGATATATTTTTAAGATATTATACGTTAATTCTTTCTAAATATGGGTCATTTGACTCTGTTGATTTGTGGTTGCTAGGCAACATCACAATGTCATAATATCTGATATAGATAAGAACCTCAATGAGTCTAAAATGTGTCTGTTTGCCATTTTGGGTTGTTCAGCCTTTGATATTGTAGGAGTTGGTGTAGAAAGAAAAGCAAGTAGACAGACAGAGACTTCCTGTATTGTACACTAAGATATGTCACAAAGTATAGAAAATATTTGTGCAAATTCAGACTTTCATGATTATTTTAAGCCCGTGTGCCTATATAAATCTGTCACCTGGGAAACACTGGACTAACATACCTACATATATTGTGGTCTCTTCAGCAATCACTGGAAATTGTTGAAACTTTTAAATTACACACCAGCAAATCTGTTTTTCATGTATTCTGCAGTGACCTCGGTTCACAGCTGCAACATTGATTTACTGCTGGTTGATCTGATGATCTTGTGTCATGGACGCTTGATCTACTGCATATCTGGAAAACTTGTACAGGCAGAAGCCACAGCTCTCCTGAACCTTGAATCACAATCTACAGAAAATTCTTCAGCAGCAAAGGTAGTTGTAGAAGTACAACTTCTACAGGAAGAGGATTTTAAAATGACCTAATACACTATGACTGGTATTTGACTCTATAGATGCAGGTTTTGTGACTTTGCCAGCTCAAGCCCAAACTACACTGTTGCTGAAATATTCATCGGCGGGGGCGTTTCCAGAGGGGATGCATTGGAGTAGAGTCATGTTAATCTTAAATTGCCTAATGTCATTGATTGAAAACATGGAAAAGAAAAGTGGTGGAATGTAACTTAATGCTTTAATTGAAGTACTTTACCACAGAACACTTTCAATGTCCATTTGTCTGTTTTCTCAACTACTTCTTCATCCTATACTGCTGACTTCTACTTGTACTCGATCCATGTTCAATCCATCCACCCATCCATCATTTTTCTGTTTATCTGGTTGTGGTGGTAGAAGGCACCGTGCTCCAGTTCCTCCTGGAGGATCCTGAGGTGTTCATAGGTAGATTTCTGGGTCTATCCCTGAGTTTCCTCCTAGGTGTGCATGTTTGAAAAACCTCCTGAGAGCTACATCTAGGAGACATACTGGTCGAGATGCCAACCTTTTGACACAAAGGTGCAGAAACCCCTCCAGATATCGGAGTTCCTCACCCTTCCTTGCAGGAAGCTCTTGTCTGTGGCTGGATCTGCAGTCTTATTCTTTCAATAACTACCCACATCCAATCATTAAACTTGGAGTATTGTGCTACTGTGAATGCCAATCCACCTTCCTCACTCGTAAACGCGACCCTCAGATATTTGAATACCCTAGCTTGAGGCAAATACTCTCCCCCAACCCAGAAGAAGCAATACTAGTTATTAAAATTATATTTATTTACTTTTATTTAATTATTTACTTCCTACTTTGCACATTTTAAAATAAATCCACTGAAATATGATCCTTTATTGTTAGTCATCTAAAAGCAACATTAAAGTTATAAACACATGAATGAAATAATCGTTATGATCACGTATGTAATAAAAAGTGCTGTTGCTTCAAGAATATGTCTTTTACTTTACGTGAAATTTTTAAATACTTCTTGTGCACTTTATAAAATAGTTACTAACACAAAGTGATCTTTAAACTCTCTGGGCAGTGCAGCTTTTCCTATAATACATCTGTATGAGGCCACGAGCCGCACATAAAACCCAAAATCATACCTAATGTTTTCTACACCAGCTGTCTGCACTGTATCTGTTTTGATCAAATATTCCCATTTCCATCGGGCTCCTCCTCATTGAGTTACTCGCTTAAAAAGTCCCGGAAACGCCTCTGCAGTAGTGCACCAACTGTGCTTTGTTCCTCAGCTGAAAATAATCGCAGAAAACCAAAAACTGCCTGAGTGAAGTTTGATTAAAAACTTCAGTCATGAGGAAGGCTTTATCTTATGGTGAAAAGTCACTGTGCTAACTCTGCTGATGCAGACACTACACAGTTCAAGATGATTCCCGCGCTGATTTACACAATCACCTGTGAGTGCCTCGCTTCCAGACAGCCATGTAATTGGTGCCTAAGCACCGAGCACCAATCAATGTAGACATTACTGAAGCCTTTAGCCATGCAGCTGGTGTGCAGAAGTAGCTGCTGCTTGTGGACATGCTCAGTTGCCAGTCGGGTTTCAGTCATTAGCTCTACCTCATCGAATATGTAAGAAGGAAAGTCAGAGGTGACACCAACAGTGCTCCAGGAACATGACCCACCGAGCCACCGGGGCACGGCCTCCTGTTAGACAGACCATCAGGGTGTTGTTGCCCCTATATCCGCAGGGAGGCTGACCTGGAGCAGACACTATGATCGGCCCTGGCTCCGAGCCCACTGAGCTGTCAGCCTCGCACGCCGAGGGCTAAGTGGAGACGGGGGACATGAACAGCATGGAGGAGATCAGGGATAACGAGCAGAGACGGAGGTAGACTGCAGTCTGTCTGAGACTGCCTGCATTAGTGAAGCTGAAAGAGAGCTGCAAGGCCACTGAACTGAATCATTGTGGGGGTTTGAGATGGTAAAGTGAGACCAGTTTGGGTTTTTCAGTTTTTTTTTTTTTTTTTTGCCATAGTGTGATTGTCCTATTGTCCCCGTGTGTCCAGTGAGCTATGTTGTCGTCGACAGGATGTGTAGATGGGGTTAATGTGCACTGTGGAAGCAATATCCACGCTCTATAATGCATAATGTGTAGCCTGAACACAAAAAACACAAGTGAGCTACGACTACTGCTGCTGCGGCGGCTGCTGTGGGAATTCTTTTCCCATACAATAAAGA